CCCCGCCGCCAGGCGTCGGGGCTCCAGCCGCCGCGCGCGGGGGACGCCCCGAACTCTCCCCGCGCCCCGGGGCGCACGGCGTTGGGACCGGGGGTCGCCGCCCTCCCGGTGGCGCAGGGGGTCGCCGCCCTCCCGCCGCCCTCCCCGCCGGGCCCGGCCTGCCGCTCACCAGTGAGGATGGAGAGGCGCCGCATGGCGGGGAACGGGTGGTTGCCGGACGTGTCGAGGATGTCGAGCTGGTAGACCTCGCCGCGGATGGAGTAGAACTTGCGGTGGAAGTCCTCGATGGTGGGCGTGTAGGCGTCCTCGAAGCGGCCCGTGAGGAAGCGCGACACGATGGCCGTCTTGCCCACCTTGGACGAGCCGAGGATGACCATGCGGTAGCAGTTCTTGGCCGGGATACTCAGCTCCGAGTCGCTCGGGCACATCTTCTTGATCATCGCGGCCAGTTTCATTGGGCGGAGGGGCCGCAGGGGCGGGCGCCGAGCCGAGAGAAGCGCGGAGGGCAGCCGGGGGCGCGGGGCTGGCGCGGGGCTGGCGCGGGACTGCGCGGCTAGGCGGGTCCGCTCGCTCGGGCTGCGGCTGCGGCTGCGGCTGGGGCAGGGCTCTGGCTCGAGCTCCGCTCCGACTCTCGGACAAAGTCGCTCGCTCCGGTTCTCGGCGCCCGGAGGCCGCCCTTATATGCAGCCTGCGCGGCCGCCCCGCCCCGCGCCCTCCCAGCCTCCGTGCGTCACGCCCAGCGGGCCCCCGCCGCCCCCTCCCGCGACCTCCGCCCGCCGCTGCTGCTTCTGCCTGCCGCGCGCGGGGAGCAACTGAGTCCCGGGTCCCGCTGGGGCTAGGGGCGCGCGGACCCCGTTCTTCACGGCACGGGGCTCGGCGGCCGCAAGGGCGTCGGGTTTGTAGTCCCGCCTGTGCCTCTGACCCTCTGTGCCCTGGGGCAAGGACCCCATACACACGCACTCTCACGCTCACACTCACTTCCTTTGGGCCTCAGCTTACCCAGAGAATAAGAACAGCAGTCCCGGCCCAGCAGCAGCGTAATCGCAGCTGCTTACCAGTGCTCGGCACCGCGCACCGAGCCTGGCGTACGTCCCTTCTCTCCTCGGTCCCGAGAGCGAGCCCCCGCGGCAGCCCTCTTTGCAGTCCGCGGGCGCGTGCCTGGTCCCCGGCGACCGTGTTAGCGCCGAGGGCGGCGCCGCGCGCTCCGGCCGCCAGAGGGCAGCAGAGGCCCCGCCGGCGGCGCGGGGAGGCCGCGGGCACCGCTCTCGGGGCTGGAGTGCGGGGCGAGCCTCCAGGTTGGGGTCTGGCGAGGTGCGGGGCGCGGGTCTTGGGGCTCCAGGCCGAGACCCAGCAGGAGCCGTCCCCCGCCCCGCGCTCTACGGTAGGCCTTGGCGTCCCCTTTCGCCCAGCCAGGGATGCTCTGAAGCCGGCAGGGGCTGTCCCCATCCTTTTCCTGTGTGGCACCCGAAGGACCAGAGACTTGCCCTTCCTTGCTCAAGCCTGGGCCAACGTGCCCTCCTCCCTGCCCCACAGCGTTTTGTGCCTTGAGAGTCGCTTGGGCCAACATTCTCATTTTGCAACGGGGGGGCGGAGAGGGAGGGGGGCGCTGGGCCTCAAAGCCCCGGGGTTAAAGCAGTCTCTTGCCTTCCCTGGGTCTCGGGTGCCTCTTCTGGAAAATAGCGGTTCTGGTTCTGATCGGGGATGAGAAAGTACAAGCAGCGTAAGGGGCAGGACGTGGTAACAATAGCAATAGTAAATGACCCCTGGGCTCACAGCCCTGGGGGTGGGGCTGGGGGGTGCGGGAGCCAAGAGAGGAGGCAGCAGGCTGATCAGTACCCCGGATGGGGCTGATGGGCTCAAGGGCCTGGAGCCAGGGAAAAGCCAGCGCTCCCCACGGCAGCAAGCGAGGCCGTGCGGGGTTTTGCTCTGGCTGCGTCGGGTTTGGGAGAAAGCCAGGGAGCCGGTAGCTGGTGCCACCCACCTATCTGCACAGGCCTGGGTGCTCAGGGCAGTGTCAGGGGCACCAACCTGCAGCCCCCGGATGTTGGCACAGCACCTCGGGCTCTCAGAGGCCATCTTATCCAGCCCCTCAATGACAGGGATTCCCGCAGAATCGTACACCCTCTGCAGGGGACACCCGGGGAGGCTTTATTTGTGCCAAGCACTGTTCTAGGTCCTTCCTTCTGGCAACCTTGAGGGGTAGGAACTATTTCTCTCGGTATTTTACAGATGGAGAAACTGAGGCAGGGGCATGACTTGGACAGGGTCCACAGGTAGTAGCGGCAGGGCTGGGGCTTGAACCCAGGGGGCTGGCAGTCCTGGCTCTTACCCACCTACTGTGACCCTCCTATAGCTCTGGGCCAACTGTGGGACATCCGTGCCCCGTTTCTCAGAGCGCACCCCTCAGATCTCCCTGCCCCTCCACATCTGTCCCCAAGCCTCGGGTCTACCGTTGATGAGGTGTTTCAGAGACTCACATCACTTGATGAGCACCCAAGGGCTCACCACTCGGCTCTGATTCTGGGTATCATTGTGTGACAGACCAGCTGGGCTGGGGCCCCCCCCCACCCCTCTTGACCCTGCTCAGGCTGCTCTCCCCCGCCCTCCCTGTCCGAGATGAGAAAGAACCAAGCTGGGTGCCCTGCAGACAGGGCCGCTGTGGACAGTGGTGCGGGGCGTTCACTGCAGAAAGGGACCAGACAAGGATGTGAGCAGAAGCTGGTCACGGCCTGGGCCTGCATCATCCCCGGATGAGGGGCCCTCTCTCTGCCTCCCATGAAGGCACAGTATGGGCAGCTGGGCTCTGGAATAGGATGGCTCCTGGCTCCTTCCTGATGGCCCATGCTAGAGGGTCGGAGTGAAGGTGGCCTCCGGTCCTGGGAGGGCCACCGTGATGAGCAGAGGCCCAAGGGTGGCAGGGCCAAGGATTTGAACCCAGCTCTCCCTCGGGAGATCAGTGAACTGGGACCTAGCCTGGAATCAGAGGCTCCCTCCCCCACCCCAGGTCAGATGGTCAAGATTGGCGCTGACATCATGGCCCCGGCCCCCTCTAGCTGGTGAGCGCCCGTGGCTGGTCCTGAGCCCAGCCTGCATTCTGAATCACAATTCCTGGCAGCTTCTGGGCATGTCCGTTGATAAGACGTGTCCTCCCAAGTCAGCCAAGTTAAGTCCCGAGTGTAGGTGTCATTCATTCCCCAAACCGCCATGTGGACCCATGGGTTGGGCTGCCTGGAGCTCGTCCATCCTGCCCTGACAAAGCCTTCAGGATAGCAGCGTAGCCTCAAACGCTATGTGTGCAGAAGTCCTTGTGAAGGAGCGAGCTCCCTGTTCCTAGGGGTGTGCAAGCAGACGCAGGGATTGAAGCACTGCGTAAGATCAGACTAGATGCCTCTTGTGGCCCGTCAAGGCCGGAGAAGACTCTGGATTCCAGAAATTCAAGAAAAGGGCTCAAGGAGCTCCCCGAGTGACGAGGGAGGCCCAGCCTGCACCGCCTGGACTCCTGCTGCATACATAAGGCAGGCGTGAATATCACGGCCCTTTTACAGGGTGGGGGACGGGGGCTCTGAGAGCTGCGTGCACAGGTGGAGTCTGGGCTCACGCCGCTCTCCCAGTGTGGCGAGGGGAAGGTTGGGGCCTGGAGGAGGGCCAGGCCCTGTGCACTCGGCTCTGCAGTCAGGCTTGACCAACAGGCCCCAGATGATTACGGGGCCTGTTCCTCCCGGCGATGTGAGGCCCACAAAGATTTAGGAGGGAAATGTCAGCGTCAACCAGAGATGCCAAGTTTAGCCCCAGGGTCTGGGGGGAGACTTGGGTACAGGGCCCAGGTCCTCTGGTCCCACCCAGGAAGCCCCACCCCATGGCCCTGGGAGCCCCCAGTTCTCTTCAATTCCAACCCCCTCAGTGGGAGAGAGGGAGCATGAGCTTGGGGTGGGGCAGACCTGTGCCTCCAGGACAAGTCACCCAGCCTCCGTGGCAAACAGGGGCGACCCCGGCCCGTGTGGTCGTCGTGCACACCACCACATGTCCGCAGTCCAGCCGGGCCCAGCCCTTCTGCTCCCTCCGCAGGTCAAGCATTGCTAGCAAATCTGGGGAGGTACACGAGCCCTCACTCTTTCCTCAGCCACAGCGCCTTCCCAAGCCCACCTCCTGGCGGCCTTCAGGGCCGCGCACACTCCCATCTCGATGCAGGCCCCTCATAGGCCCAAGGGGATTGCCATGTGACCACGTTTGGACTTTTCTGATAACACTCAGATCACCCCACAAAGATGATCTGTCTCCAAGGCCAGCTTCTCTAGGCTGGACCTGGTGGCCTGGGGTTCAGAGAGCATGAGTGTCACGGCCCAGCTTTCTGCAAATGCGGTCATGCCCCAGGGGGCACCAGCCGGTGATGCTCCTTCCTCACTTGGGCCCTCAGAAGCCTGCTGCTTTGGGCACCCATGCTTGTTCTGAGCACAGGGCCTTTGCATTTGCTATTCCAACTGCCTGGAATCCTCCAGTTTGCTCCCTCTGAGATCTCATTTGGGTCTCAGCTCAAATGTCACCTCCTCAGAGGGTCCCCGACCACCATGGCTAATGGGGCTCCCACCCCTACCAGGTACTTTCATGTGGCTTTTAAATTTTCGGCATATTTTTCACTCTCTGATCATTTACCCGGATGGCAGCTCACAGAGGCTGGGAGCTCCTTGGCATGTGGGGGTGCTGGGCCACTGGGTGGTATGATGATACCCCTACCCTGAGCCTGGGCTGGCTCCCCAAAGGAAAGGGACAGAAGAGGGGGTACTGGGGCAGGGGTGAGGCTGGCAGCACAGGAAGCCCGAACATCCAGGCAAGTCCCTTCCCTGCCACGTGTGGATGGTGGTGCCCAGCTCAGGGCTGACAGGCTTCAGTGAGAAGGAGGGCCACACCAGCCTGGCCTGGAGCCCTCAGGGGAATGCCCTACTCCCCGCAGCCACAAACTCCCTCCCCTTGCCCCCGCCGGCCAGACAGAGAGCCAGAGAGGATGCTGGCGTCAGGGTGCCTTTATTGGTGAGTTAGGATGTACTGGGGGCTGCAGGGCAGGGGGGCTCAGTGGCCAGATGACAGCATGTCCAGGGCCCCCAAGGCAGAGGTTTCCAAGGCACTGGAGTGGCCCTCGCCGGGCACCAACACCGAGCGGCGGCTGGGGCCCGTCTCCCCGCTGTAGGGCTTGGCACTCGGGGCAGGCCGGAGGTGGCAGACGCTCCGCGACATGGCCAAAGGCCCGGTCAGCTCCTCTTGTGGGACGGGGAGGCTTGCTGCTGGTAGATCTGTGTGGTGAAGGGCCTGCGGACAGGGAGAGAGGCTCCAGTCAGCAGGTCTCGGGGGTGATGCCACCACCCCAGGCCTGCTCCGCTGCCGGAGCATGGACGGAGGGGGTGTTCGCAGTGGGGGCAGGAGGCCCAGGCTCCCTCAGCACCAGCTGCCTGGCCCCCCAGGGCCCAGTGGGCCGGCTCGAAGCTTCCCGTGGGCCGCTCGGGTGGTGACGGGCAGCCCGGCCCAGCTCGGCGGGCACGCTCCTCGGGTGTGACGGGTGTCTACTCACTCCTCGTACAGGATGGCGACCATGTAGACGAGGGCCACAACCGCGGTCAGCAGCAGGCCGGTGGGGCTGGCGTGCCTGTGGGGAAGATGCTCTCAGGTCCCGAGCCCAGCCTTCTCTCTCAGACCAGGGCCCCCGCCGTCCGGGTCTTGACCTGCTGGCTGCTCGCTGACCACCTCTCCGGGCTGGCTCAGTCCTCAAAGGGGGGCCCACACTCCCTTTCCCATGTGCCCGGCCCCCCAGCTCAGGACACAGCGGGGATGAATCAGGAAGGAAAGAATGGCCTCTCAGAATCGCCCGAGTGGCCAAGCGGATCTTTTTCTGCACAAGGAGGATGTTCCAGGGGACCTGCCCTCCACCTACAGTGTCCTCAGGCTGTTTTCTAGAAATGGGTCCAGTGCCCCCAGAGGCATGTGGAGTGTCCAGTGGGCCCTTCGTGGGCTACCTGCTGGAAGAGCCTGGGGGCACCTGCTGTCCAGCTGGTCCCACGTTTTTTAGTCCCCTCGGATCCCCGAGGCTCCACAGGGGCTGGGCTGCAGCATCTAGATGGCCAGGAGGAGAGACGGGGGACACACAGCATCCAGGAGCCTCAGGCTGGGGGCCCCAGGACATGTGTGCACCGTGAGGGGACCCTCTGCCCTGTCCACGCTCCTTCGCCCAGGACCTCACACTGTCCCTTCGTTTGGGCACCCCAGCAGGGAGAGCGAAGGCCCCTCCCCCATTCTGTGGACTCTGTTCGAATCATCCTCTGGGGGCAGCGTGGGCTGTCTGCCCCTCGCCACGGCCAGGCGGAGACGCCAACACCCAGCAGAGACCCTTCTGGGGCTGAAGTAAAATCTGCCCTCCTGGAGCTTTACTCACTGACCCTGGTTTGGTTTTCTAGAGTGAGCAGAGAGTCCCCACTCACGAGTCAGGCACCCCAGGAGCTGGGGAGAAGGCAGGGAGCAGGCTGGACCACCACATCTGCCGGCAGCCAGCTCAGGAGGATGGGGCCAGGGCTCTGTAGCCACAGTGTCGCTAAGACTGACCGCTGGGACGCCCCCACACCGGGCCCTGGCCCGGGAGGCAAGCTGGCACCCCCTCTCCATTCCATGCACATGAAACCTCCGCCCCTTCCAAGTGCTATCCCACTCTTGCCCTTGACATGCTAACAACCCGGTGTGGAAAGGATCATCTCCTGTGGATGGGGAGACCCACATGCCTGGCCCTGAGCCCGAGGTGGCGTCAGGGCTGGTCCTAGGGAACCGGCTGCGCACCCTGGGGGACGGGGCGTCCCACTGGGGCTGGGGAGCTGGGAAGGTGAGACCTGGATGGAGCAGGAGGCCCCGGTGCCTCATGCCCCCAGGAATCCTGCTGCCCAGGCCCGCCAGGGCTCCAGCACACCCGGTTCCTCCGGGAAGCCCCATCCGCGGGGCCCCTGGTGGAAGACAGCGTCTTGCAGCCCAGGTAACGGCCCATCTCTAATAAGCTCTCAGCGCCGGGCCGCGTCCTGAGCCACAGAGGAGCCCAGGCCTCCCTAGGGTCTCATGTTCCTGCAAGCCATGGCCTGACAGCTCCGAGGCGGAGGTCACATCTCACTCTGAGCACAGAGGAGGCACCTGTGTATGGGGGATGGGGAGCCAAGGGTCAGGGAGGGCTTCCTGGAGGAGGGGACACTCCAGTTGGGTTTGGGAAGACCAAATGGGGGTGGGAATGAGAGAGAACAATGGGTGTGCTGGCAGGGGTGGGGAAAGGAGTTCAGCAGGAAGAATCCAGAAGCTGCAGGGTGGGCCCTGGGAGATGCTCTGTGGAGTGGGTCAATCTAGGGGCATGAAACCTTCAGCCCCTGGGATCCCACTGCCCAAGTCCAGGCGAGGGGACTGTCTGGTCTGCAAGTGGGACTGGGGCAGGGGGAGAGGTCCCGGCCAGATCCACAGATCCCCCTCTAGCTCCTTGCACTCAAAGCCCAGTGGTCCGATCTGGGCTGCTTCAAAAGGTGGGGGTTTCCAGGAAACAGCTCGTTCCTGACATTCCACCATTAGAGATTCATTCCTTTATGTCCTATAACCTTCCTGGAGTCTGGGAGCACCTGTAACACCCTAGGCACGTGGTTTCAAGTATTCAATAAAAGCAGAACACTTCCTACAGAAAAACTTCCGATGGAAGGAGCCCTAACATGCAAAATGGACAAACAGGAAGTGCTCTGGAGGGGCGCATGGCTTGAACCCCAGAGCCCACAGCGTTCCTGAGGCCGGCTCCTCGCCCGAGGTCTCTGGACAGTGTGAGCCCTAGAGGCGCTGGGGGCCTACCAGCCCTCGCGTTCTAGTATATGACTGGCAGCTTACGGTCTGTAGGCCAAGAATGGTTTTTACATTTTTAAGTGGTTTAAAAAAAAAAAAAAAAAAAAAGAATCGAGTATGACATGACACATGCAAAGTATATGAAATTCAAATTTCTGCGTCCATGAATGATGCGGTGCCAGCTCTGGCCACAGCCTCCCCTTTACCCACTGTCTCCAGGCTGCTCGGGAGCTGCAGACCTCCGCCTGCAGCCTGTGAGCCTCGCCTCTCCGGCCCTTCAAGAGGAAGTTCGCTAACACCCTGTTCTAGGATGTGCCTTGTCTCCCCAGAGAACAAAGTCCCCAGGAACGCCTCGGCCCCGCAGAGGACAGAAGGCTGCCCTCGCCTCCCCAGGCGGCAGCCCAAGGGACAGGCCCAATACTCACATGACGGCCCAGCCCAGGTAATTGGCCGTGCTGCCCCAGTACATGGGGTTGTCCAGGACGTTGAATGGGAATGTGGTCACCCTTGCCTCCTTGAGGATCCCGAAGTAATCGCCTGTGGACGAGGAGAGGGAGGACCGGAGGCTCACAGCCTGGCCAAACGGTTCCTAAGGGAGGCCCCCCGGTGGGTGGGGGCCGGGGGAGAACCACGAGATCTGCCGTCCAGGAGGCTCCAGGCCGGCCACGGAGCTGGTTTTACCACGTCAAGGGACACGCCAGGCGCTGGGCCCACTCAAGCCATAGGCATGCAGACGCCTCAGAGGGCCTTCCCACCCACCATCTGCTCCTCTCCTCTGCCTTTGCACATGCTGTTCCCTCTGCTCAGGACGTTTGTCCCTGCTCTCCCTCCAGCCAGCAGCTTTCCTCCTTTGGCGTTTCTCCCTTAGCTCACGTCACCTCCTGAAAGAGACCCTTCCACTATTGGAAGCAGGCCTGTTGGCGCGCCTGCGTGGCTCAGTCGTTCAGGGCCTGCCTTCGGCTCAGGTCATGATCCCAGCGTCCTGGGATCGAGCCCCACATCGGGCTCCCTGCTCCGCGGGAAGCCTGCTTCTCCCTCTCCCACTCCCCCTGCTTGTGTTCCCTCTCCCGCTGTGTCTCTCTCTGTCAAATAAATAAAATCTTAAAAAAAAAAAAGAAAAGAAAGAAAGCAGGCCTGTCTGCTCCCCACTATTTCTGCCCCCAGATCCTTCCTTCTCACCCAACATGTGGCCTGGGTGAGCACCTCCCCCTGCCAACCCCTGGGGGGAAACGAGGGGGCCTGTTCTGCTCCTCCACCCTGGACCGCCCACCACCCAAGAGGTCAGCCCTGGGATTACAGCCCCGGCCCCGCGACCAGCCCCGAGCAGCTGGCCACAGTGGAGAGTGTGACTTTGAGACGGCCGACCTCAGACAGGCCCGTCAGCCAGCCCTCTGAAATGTGGCACGGGCCCCCAGGCGGCCCGCATGGCCACGGGCTCCACGCTGCTCACTGAAGGGCACCGGTGCATCCTCCCAGCCTCCTCTCCCCAGAAATGCCTCAGAGCTTCATCCGAGGCAGAAGTAGGGCAGCCGTGGGCGGGAGGAGTCCGTTGTCTGGGGACAAAGGGTGCGGGGGGTACAGGAGCCGCCGGGGGTGCTGCGGAAGGCTTTCTTCCCAGGAGGCAGGAAAGGGGCTGCGGGCCTGGAGGCGGATGGCACAGAAACCCACTTTGGGGCTGACTCACAGGAGGGGCGCGGCCGCCGTGCCCTACATCCAGAGCCCCGCGGCCTTTGTCAGCCACTTCTCCTGCGGGGTGCTAGGCTGTGGTGCCTGGGGTTTTTCTGGTTTCTTCCCACCAGCTGCCCACCCTGACTGGCTCCCCGCCATGGCCCTGACCTCCCACAGCGGCCCCTTCCCAGTTCTCTGCCCACATCTATGCCGCGCCTGAGGGCTGCTGGGCTACTCACCCTGGTCTTCAGAGGACCCGAGGAGGACAGGCCAGTGCCCCTCCTCCCTCTGTGTCCCTGGGCCCCCCGGCTCTGCGCGACAGACACCTGATCCGCCCTCACGCCCGCCCCTCCCTCACGACCCCACTAGTGCAACCTCCTCATTGCTGGGACATCTTTCCAAGCCCTCCTATGGCCCGCACCTCCCCAGGAGTGAGGCCTCAGGCCCCTGCATGTTCTTCAGGGACATGTGTGATGTGGCCCCCACCTGACCTCCAGCCCTGGCCGGACCGGCCCCGAGCACACCGGCCCACCTGCCCACCATCCTGCCCTGGAGCTTGCTCTTTGCTCCCGGGCCCACCCCAGTGCCCTGCTCCCACCTGGCAGACCCAGGAGCTCCCAACGTCTCTTCCCACCTTCCCGCCCGCTGCCCCTCTCTGAGCCTTGGGCATCCTAAAGCTCCGGCCTGAGCACGAGGCATAAGCCGCCTGGGGGCCCCGCTGCTGCAGGTGGGTGACGGGCGCAGCTCAGGCCCCCCTGCACGCGCTGCTCCCACGTGTGTCCTCTGCCTGGGAACACAGCGCCTTCTGAGCTCCCGGCTCCCCTCTGCAGCCTGCAGTACCCCAGGCCCCAAGCGACTGTGGACAGAGAGGCCCCCAGGCAGACGGGGAGGGCCCCAGAGACTGCCCTGGGCGCTGGAGGAAACTGAGGCCAGGTCTGCGAAGCTGGCTGGGTGGGGGCTGAGAGCGGGAGCCCCTGATCCAGCCCATCAGAGACGTGGGCACCTCCCACATAACCTGCCTGCTGGGCTCCTTCTGTGGGCTGCCTCCTCCGTTCTGTCCCTGTCCCCAAGACTGCCTTGCTCTTGTAGCCTCCCCCAGCTGCGCTCCTTCTTGGGCTTCCAAGTTGCTAGAAGTTGCTGATGTCATGAGGACCTGCGCCCAAAAGCCCCTGAGCCATAGGCAATGGGGAACGCAGAGCAGGGACAGCATCGTCCCCCCACGCCCCCACCCGATCCAGCCCCGCACCAGCCCCGCACCAGCCCTGGCTTGTGGCCCAAGGGCAGCAAACGGCAATCCCACCTGGCCTGGCAGCCAACCAGCTGGATGAGACACAGTTAGGACCTCCCAGGCTTCCCAGGCTAACCACGGACAGGGAGAGGCCTGGAGGACGAAAGTGCCCAGAGCCTCAGACTTAGGGGCAGAGCAACGAGCCGGCCGGGTCCCCCAGTGCTCCCCACGAAGATGTCGCAGATGGCACGGCAGGCAGGCAGCGCCTGCTCCCGCCTGGACCCAGAGTGCGTCTGCTCATGGCCCCCAGCCCTTGAGGTCTTACCTAGGAAGGTCCCGGTGAAGCCCAGTGCAAAGAAGCTGGAGAGCACAAACGTGCTGCCCACTCCCAGGAGCGCGAGGCCCATGCGGTAGGCCGTGGGGTTATCCAGGCTCTCCATCTTGGGCTGGCTCAGCATGGCCTGTGTGAAGCTGGGGGGGGGGGCGGGGCGGGAGGTCAGACGATCATTGCCATGGACAGGGGCTGCCCTACCCTCCCCCTTCCCACCCTCTGTCCCCCAGGGGACCCCAGAACAGCCCGTCCAGGGGTCTCAAACTCAGTGTCTGCTGGGGCCAGGCAGGTGATGCCAACGAGCAAAGTCGGCTGCCGGTGGGGTGCAGGGGACCTGGAGGGCACGGCCCTGCCCAAGGGGGGCTGCCCTGCAGTGCCAGCCCCCCCCACTGCCACCAGGGAAGTGACCGCGAGAGGGGCCTGGGCCCTGCTAACGTTTTTGGTTTTCGAGAAGCCAGACATCAGGACTTGTATTTAAAATCCCCTAATGATTACAAATAGGCAAGAAGGACAACCACGTTAGACTCCGCGTGGCCGTGAGCCAGATCCAGCCCAGGGGCCACCAGTTTGCAAACTCTGATTCCTGTCCAGTTAGCAACCGAGACTTCACAGGAAAATGTGGCTCCAAAAGGAACAGATGCGTGCCCCTGGCTGCGCCCGTGTGCCCCTGCACTTGGCATATGCTGCACGTGCTGGTGGCATTCCAGGCCCCTGGCGGATGCAGTGCCCCCCGGAAGCCTGGGGCATGCTCGCCCCTTCCACGGCCTCCATAGTCCCTGCGCTGGGCTGGCCACATCCTAGGTGGCCCCACAGAGGCTCCCTATGTCTTCCCCAACCTCCCAAATGGCCCCAGCAAGCTCCTTTTGGGGCCTAGCCATCAAAGGCCTTGTCAACCAGCAAGTGACAAAAGCAGGGTGAGCATGCTCGTGGGTTTGGAGGTTCAGGTTCTCCGGGTGGCTACTGAAGACGGGAAGGCATGCTGCTGGCGGGGCAAAGTGGCTGGGCTCGTGGTAACGCACAGGAGCACGTTCGGGCTCTGCCTCGCTAGTGGAGAGCTGGTACTGCTGGGAGGGACACGCTCAAAGGAAAGGATGTGTGTGGGAGCAAGTGCATGTGTGTACCACTAACCTACACTTCCCATTTCCCCACGATTGTAACACTCAGAAGAGACATGGAGCTCTGCTGTCTCATACAGGACAAGTGCTTGCACTCACTCTGTACCAGGTACGTCTTAGCAGGGCAGCTCACTGTCTACCTACCCACCCACTCAGCCATCTGTCTGTCTAGCCTCTATCCATCCACCTACCCATCCATGAGTCTACCCTCCATCCGTCCGTCCATCCATCCATCCACCCATGTATCCATCCATCAGCTATCCTTTACCTATCCATCCATCCATCACAAAGTACCTCTATTTGCAAGGCTCTTTCAAGCAGAACAAATTCACCATCCTCACTCATTCATTCCACTGGCAAATTCAAATTGTTGTAAAGCTATCCTAATGTTAAGCTAAAAACCACCTCCCCAGAATGTTCTTCTCCAACTACTTTTAGCTCTAGGAGAACAGAGGCTGCTTCTCCTTCCCTCAGGTATCTCCCCGGTATCTGGCACACACCAGTCAGGATGGGTTATAGTACATATTCATCAACTGCAGGAAAAGCAGCCCCCCCCCATCCACTGCCTTACCCTCGGCCTGTGGGCAGAGGCCAGCATGGTGACCTGTCCAGGAGCGGCACATATGTCAAGGTACACCCAGCCACCGGTCATGCTGCCCACACCCCCAGCTCTCCGCCCACCACTGACCTCCTTCAGCTTTCCTGCGGCCCGGGCTCAGGGCCACCCTGCAGATCCAGGCTGAGCTGCTGGGATGGGCTCAGGGTCATGCACACCCTGCCGTTGTACCTGCCCACACGCACACCCATGCCCCACCCCTCTATGCCCTCACCTGACTTTCTGGTTAACCACCGGCCCTCACGCATGGGGCAGCCCTGTGACCCAGGCACACCTTCAACCGTGCTGACCCAGCAGCTCAGGCCCCAGAGCAGGCAGCTTCAGCACTCGGCCGGGGCACCCTCCCCACCTCTACTGTCTGTAGTAGGGTGCAGGCCCTGGCAAGGCCGGCTGCCCCACCCAGAGCGGGGCTCACCTGCGGGCCCCTGGCTCCTTGGCAACCGCGGCACGAGGGACCACCCAGCAGAGAAAGAATGCGTATGGGGGGGTGGGCGGAGGTGATGCTCAGGCCTCTGTGCTCTTGTGCACTGGGGTACCCGCCCGCTGCCTGGCTCTTGGGCTCTACCTCCCTCAACATAGCCCTGGCACCTGCTCCTCCCTGCCTGGGCTGACCCCTGGCCCCCAAATCTAGGGAAATGAGGCACGGTGGGCAGCCTCTGGCCAGCACAGCATACCCATCTGCCTCGAGTGCTCTGGGGGGCCCCTCATGGCGGCCCACTGAAAGGGCTCCTGGCAGAAGAGCAGCATCAATGTTCAGACAGACATGGGTGCCCGGAGCCTTGGTTTCTGCCTCTGTGTGACAGTGACAGTAACCCCACGTGGCCCTGTGCAGAGCCGTGGCCAATGGCTGTGCCCACTCCGGTAAGCACGAAACACGTCCGGCTCTGCCTGTGGGGCTTGCGCACAGCGGGAAGGACAGAGGTGTGCAGGCAGGGTGACACCACGGGCCACACGATGACCACACGGGACAGGGGGCCCAGAAGGCCACGGTCAGGCTTAAGCTGCGATCTGATGAAGACATTCCCCAGGAGAAGGGGCTGCACAGGGAGAGCATTCCAGAAAGAGGAACAGCCCCGGCAGAGGCTGGGGACAGAGCCCAGCACAGGAGCCCGGGGCGCAAGTAGCCTGCAGCAGAGCCCTCGCCCTGGGGTCGTTTGGCCCCCAAACGTGTGTGTGTGTGTGCGTGTGTGCACACGCGCGTGCACGCTGAGTGGGAAGTCACTGCTGCAGGGGCACAGAGCGGGAGAGCGTCCAGCGCCCAGGGCTGGGGCGCCGAGCCCAGCCACAGCCCCGATGGGACCAGATCCAGGGTCCCAGAGAAGCCGGCCTGAGTGGCACGCTCCTCTGCCAGGATTCTCTCGCATCATCCAAGAAGCACGCAAGTCGCCTGACCCTGAGTGCACACGGCATGGCGGCAGATGAAAATGGGAAAGGTCTCGCTCTGACCTCTGGCGTGCCGGAAGTAGCTTCCCTGGGGAACAGCCTTGCAGTGAAAGCCATCTGGCTGGAAGCAGATGGAGCTTCCTAAGAAAAGGCAGATCTAGGGCCAGTGATGGCGAGGAGAAAGCCCTGAAGTGTGGGGGACGGCCCCAGACTCGACCCGGGCCTCCATCCACCTGTGGCTCCTTTTCTATTCCTTCGCCAATGGGAGGAGAGGAAGGGAGGGGCCGAGGGGAAGCACTTTCCCACTGGCCACAAAGCCCGATGGGGCTGCTGTCTGGGGTCAGCAGAGAAGGCAGGCCATGCCCTTCCCGGGGGTTCTGTTCCAACGCCCTGTGCACCGTCTGGCCCCACAGGCGTCAGGGTTCCTGGAATGGCAGGGCCCGGCCCCAATCAGGTGATCTGTGGTGTTCTAGCTCCTCCATTAAGCCAGGAAGGCACAGTCCATTCCCCACGGAAAATTAATGGAGGGATGAGTGGCTCTATGAGACACGCTCTCTGTAATAGAATGAAGTAATAGGAGGCAATTTCCTTTGGAAATATTCCGCACTGGGGGTGGGCGTGGAGAGACTCATCCATTTGTCTCAAGTTCTATTTTTAAAACTGGGATTGAGCTTTCGGTCACCAGTGTGACTTGAGGCTGTCTGCGCTCTGCTCCCCTGAAATCCGGGAACCCAGGGTGAAGGGAAGGGGAGGATGTTACAGCCACACGCCAGGCACCCGGCTCAGCCACGCGTGGCGCCCACAGCCCCACGACAGGCCTGTTCCCGTGTCTGTCTGCAACGGACCGGCACTGACAAACCTCAGTCCTTCAAGGGCGTCCTTACCAGGTTGTCCAGGCGAACCTGAGCAGCAACCCACTTGATTCTACCTCTCAGGCTTAGGTTAGCTCATGCCTCATGGTTCAACCCAACGAGGCAAAACTATGGGGCCTCCAGTGGGCTGACTTATTTTTTCCTAATCCACATTAAAATAGACCTATATGTCCTAAAACGGAAAACAAAAATATTCACCTATGTAACCCCCTACAAAATCGTCACCTAATGAAAATTTAGGGTTAGGATGCTGTACACTGAATGAACGCATCACCTTTTCGAAGTGTTTCCAAAACCCATCACAGCCCAAGAGAGGGTCCGTCCCTTCCCCAAGGCAAAGCCCCGATGCCCGCAGGACCTGCAGAGTTAAGGCTGACCCCACCCGTGCTTCCTGCTCCCTCCGCCTGGAACTCCCTCCCACCATGGGGCAGGCAGCCCTCCGTGGGGCTCCAGAGCCCAGGTCCGCAGAATCCCTCCCCCTGGGTGCGGGCTGCCCTGCAAACACAGGTGAGGGCATTTCCAGATGTAATTACAGCTCATTGAAAAGGAGATTTACGGTGGCCAGGTGGGGATGGACTGGAGGAACCTTTCAAAGAGGGTCTGGAGGTCAGAGAGAAGTCAGAGAGCCTTTCTCCTGCTGGCCTGGAAGCCGAGCCCCACGCTGAGCCACATGCCTCGGAGCGCTGCAGACACTAGGAGCGAAGGGCCTACAGCAAACCAGGATCAGAGGCCTCCCACATTCCTCGAGCCTGGGGGAGCCCACCCCCACCCTGTTTTCGGGCCGGGCTCTCACCGCCCCTTCCGACAGCCCTCCTCGGCAGTGATCCGCCTGGTTTGCTGGCCCCTTGGTGCGGCCACTGGGCCATCAAGGCCTGTCCTGACCTCATCCTGTGACAGTCCCCGCGGGGCCCTGGATACAGCAATGACTGGCACACAGATGCCACCGGGACAGAGAGCCACATGTGCGGATGCCCCAGCCATGTGGCGGGTCAACGCATGGAGGGCGCCTGCGCCCAGGCAACTAGTACCCGGAGGGGCAGAAGATTTGCCCCCCTTGCTGCGGCCACAGCCCCGTTTCTGCTGAAGGTGTACCCCAGCCTGTGCGCGGAGGCTACCTGCCCCTGTGTGCCCGCCCCCATACCTGCATGCCCCCC